AACCTCGGCGAGGACCGCGTGCTCCGCCGACCGCGACAGGCGCGTCAGGTACCCTTCGAAGGCGTCCTCGCGGCGGGGGTGCCCTCCCTCCATTCGGCGGCGAGCGAAGGTTTTTTTGATCGAAACAAGTTCACCCCTACATCCTGGGACACCCCACGAGCGCCACGAAAAAGGCCGCGATGAGCCAAAACACCGCCGCGAGCGCCACAACGACCGCGAGGAGCCCGAGGCGGCGGCAAGCGAGGGAGGGGAGGTGAGAAGGAGGAGGCCTTCTCAGAAGGCGGCGGGGGCTTCTCAGATGCGCTTAAGGCCTCCCGAGAAACTTCCTGTGTCTTCGGGGGAGGCTTGGGGGGGACGTCCGGGCCTTCCGAGAGGGCCTGGCCCCCCGCACTTTTCCCCCCGCCGCTCGCCGCCGATCCCTCCCTCCCAGGAGGAGGGTTAGGAGGGCGTATACGATTTCAGTGAAGGTGCTTCTTGTCATGGCTCGTGCGTTTTCATCACTATCGGGTCTTCAAGATGGCGCTCCCGCTGCAGCCCGTCGGTCCGAATGGCATCTGGCCCAAGCGCGGGCCTCAATGCTGGATCCGAGTCCTTCGTCGATGTCGCCTTACTCCTTTCCCCTCTTCCGCCTTCCCCTGGTCCTCCTGCTCCCCTCCTACTCCTGGTCCTGGTCCTGGTCCTGCTGTTCCTCCACTTCCTCATCTTCCCATGTCCTAGTCCTCTTCCTCATGCTGATCCTCTTGTTCATCCGCCACCTCCTCCTCCTCCTCCTCCTCCTCCTCCTCCTCCTCCTCCTCCTCCTCCCCCTCCTCCTCCTCCTCGTCCTCCTCCTCCTCCTCCTCAGCCCCCCACGTACGCAGCTCCACTTTTCTGACTGCGCATGGCACGAAACGGTCCTTTGGGGTGGTCCACGTCCTCACACGTCGGCGGATCTAGAGAATCAGGTCAATGGGAAGGGGAGATGGAGGAGGAGGAGGAGGAGGAGGAGGAGGAGGAGGAATGTGAGAACGGATGAAGTGGACGGATGAGGGAAAGGAGGGGGGAGAAAAAAGGGAGGGGGAGGAGGAGGAGGAGGAGGAGAGGAGGAGGAGGAGGAGGAGGAGGAGGAGGACGAGGGAACGAGCGAGCGAGCGAGCAGCCAAAGCGGGAACGAATCGTAACCGCCCGACTGTTGTTTGATGTGCTCATGCAGCCTGCTGGCAATGACCTTCCAGCAATTGCTGGCCAGTCTCTTTTTTTCACTCGGCTCTACACTACAAAACATCACGCATCCTCAGATAATCTGTAGTGTCGAGGAGGAGAGGAGGAGGAGGAGGAGGAGGAGGAGGAGGGAGGAGGAGGAGGAGAGGAGGAGGAGGAGACGGGGGGAGGGAGAGGAGGAGAAGGGAGGAAAGGGGAGTTAGGTACTGTAGGGGCGCCCGCCGTATGACAGCCTGCCCTTCCCACCCTCCCCCTCCCTCCCCTCCCTCCTCCTCCTCCTCCTCCTCCTCCTCCTCCTCATCCTCCTCCTCTCCTCCTCCTCCTCCCGCTTCTCCTGCTCCCCCCCCCCTCCCCCCCCCCCCCCCCCCCCCCCCCCCCGTTCCCTCCTCCCCCTTTCTCTCGTCCCCCTCCCTCATGCCCTCCCCTCCCCCTCCTCTCGAAGGCTCCCGGGCCTCTGGCCGAGGCTGCCCCGACGCGCGTCCTGGCTGGCGCCGGCCAGGCCGAGCTGCGCCGCCTGCCGGGCGGAAGAGCTCGCCGCCAGCGCTCGCCACTCGCCGCTCGCCGATGCCACCGCCGTCGCCGCCGCGGCCGCAGACGCCGTCGGCGCTCATCGCCGGTCGTCGTCGTCGTCGTCGCCGTCGTCGCCGTCGATGCCGTCGGTCGTCGTCGCCGCTGCCGGCGTCGTCGGCGGTCGTCGGTCGTCGTCCGTCGTCGCCGTCGGCCGCTCGTTGGTTCGATCAATCGTTCGATGGTTCGTCCGTTCTCCGTCTTCCGTCGTGTGTGGTCGCCATTTGCGCCGTCGTCGCTTCGTCGCCGATCGTCGTGGTTCGTCGATCATCGGTTTTCGACGTCGTCGTTCGCTCGCTCGCTCATTCTGTTGTCGTCGTCGTCGTCGTCGTCGTCGTCGTCGTCGTCGTCGTCGTCGTCGTCGTCTTCGGTCAACCATCGACCCGGCCAACGCCGTTCTCCGTCGTTCTCGCCCTTGCGGTCGTCGTCCTCCCACTCCTCCGCCCCCCTTGTCCGCCCTGCATGTTTGTCTGTCGACCGCGCATTAGCATCTTGCCATCGGCCGTAATTTCAGGCTCCTTGTGAAATCGTGTATGTCCGGTCCATGGTTCAACGACTTCACGGTGATCCGCAGCACTGACGCCGTCCCAGACGTCGCGGAAGGTGACCTCACTCACGAAGCTCTGTGCGACGTGGATCTTCTGCACGGGGATCGGCATGTTGACCACGTCGTCGGCGGGGCAAGAGAGCTTGGTCCAGGGCGCGCGGATGTGCTGGATGATGGCGTCCCCGCGCATCTCCGGGCAGTCGGGTTCTGGCGCGTCTGCGGCGTCGTCGGGCACCGGCTGGGCCCGCGCGGGGTTTTCGCCCGGCTGGCAGCTGGGATCGCCCCAATCAGATGAATAGAAAAACGTCGGATCTGGTTGGGCATCCTCGCCATGCGGGCGAGCGGCCTACTCCGCGATGGTATCCCGCGCCTCTGGGCCGCGGCGTCGCGAGAGTCTTTCCGCGACGGGGAAGGCGAGCTTATCGGGCGACGCGATTTTCTGCGCGCGGCGGACGTGACAGAGGCCCCCGCCCGAGCTCTTGGCGCGCGCGGCCATGTCAAGAACCAGATAACCGCCAGACCCCCGACGCCCAGAGTGAAGATGATATCGCGCGGAAAGTCACTCTCTCGCAGTCTCGGAGAACTTGCCTTGTTCAGGTCTGGATGGCAGCATGTCCCGTGGATGCGAGATCCAAGAGGAACTGTCTGTTCATTGAAGGTTTCCCCACATCGAACTTCACGCGGCGTTTTGCCTGCGCGTGCAGGATCTATAGATGCCGCGCCATCAATGTCAATCATGAGATATCTGCCACAGCAGAAAACCTGCGCGGCCTCTTCCCACCATTGATGTTCAAGGCTGGGCGCCAGGGGCACCGCCTGTGCCCTTGATGGCGGTCTTCGCAGCGCGTTGAGCAAACCCGTTGGTCTGTGGCCTGCGTGGTGCGCTGGTATCTTGTCGCCGCCCAAGTAGGCGGCGCGCTCTCTGCAGCTTGCCAGAATTGCCCATGCGCGCGCGATTCGCCTCGCCATTGGCGGCCACAAATCGCTGGAATTTCGTTTTAGTCGTGGCGGTGTTCTCGTGGATGGAAGGTCGGCCGTGATGGCGCCCGTGCATTTGTCTAACATAACTGGGGCGCGCTCGTCTCCACGCATGCTGGCGGCGCCATCATCGGCGAGGACAATCTGATCAACTGTGAGTGCCTCGCCGATGCGTTCGGGGGCGAAGGCGTCGTCGGTTGCGTCTCCAACAATAGGCTCTGCCGGGACATTGGACATAGGGCATGTGCTGTCGTCTGCAAGGTACGTGTTGTATCATCGTGCGTGAGCAGACCTCGCAGACGGGATGTCTGGGGCTGTGGGTGAGGTAGTGCGCTGGGTCAATGGGTTGTCGCGGTCGACCTGGCAACGTCTTGTCATTTGGTGGATAGCGCGCGTCGAACGGCTTGGGCGGTGCACTGCGCTCGTTCGATGGTGTCGAGCTCAGGAATGCACGCGGTGCCTTTGGCCTTGCGTATGCTGCAACAAGAAACCAAGTTTGCGATCCCATATCTCTCGGGCGCCGTCGTCTACCAACTCACCGAGGAGCGATGTGTCTGAAGGGCCGCTTTTTCATCGCCACTCGGTTACAGTCGGGCCGTCTTCCGCGGGAGTCACCGCCAGCCTGCCGTCGCGGGCAAGGCGAAGGCGCGCGTCGCGGGGGACCGGCAGGTCCTGTATGCGGGGCTTTGCGCCGATCACCGCTTTTGCAAATTATCTTCTTCCACGCATCGCGCAAAGCTGCTCCATCCTTGCGATGAGACTCGCAATTCAAGTTGCCCGGGTTACGCTTGAGTCGATGCATATCGATGTGCTCGAGGATTCTGGCGCGAAGCCAGTCGTAAGTCTTACTCGGGTCGTTGGGCTTCATCTTGTTGCACTCGTGCATGCCCCGTTCCAACCAAGGACGTCGATGTATCTGAATCTGACACGAGGGCCCGATCATCTCGGGTTCAGGAGGTTCTCGACAGTCGATAGGTAAGTTGCCCCAGTCCACGACGATGCATTGAAGATCGTCTTCTCGCGAGCGCAGGCTGTGAAGTCTCTCGAAATCGTGCGTGGTGTCACCCACCCCGGTGACTTTGTAGGACTGCAGGAAGGGCCCGTAGATCCGGCGGCCCTTCAGCATGCGTCCTGCCTTGGGTTCCTCACGCTTCAGGCCCTTGAACTGGTGGCGTAATTCGGAAGACAGGATGGCTGTCAGAGCTGTTGCGAGTTTGCCGTCGGTCCTTTCGAAATCGCCACAGCCTGCAAGCTCTTCAGACTGAGTCTCTGGGAGCTCAGCAACACAGAGAAAGAGGTAGGCCTTGGACGGACGCCACGATGCACTGCCAAAACCGTCTCGGACATGTTGCTGCCATTCGTCCACCTTTGCGATCTTCAGCAGGCGTGGTACACGAGCGGTGTCAGACTCTTTGATTGGTGTCGCGCCACCAGCTGAATGCTGTGATAGGTTCTGAAATGGAACTGCAGCTGGTGGCGGTGAGGTTGCAAAATTACTAGCCCGTCATGGTCGACGCGCGTGGTGGATGCAGCCGCGGAGGCGGCGCCCGGTGAGGTGCGTCGGCTTGGTCCGTGCGGGCGTTGCCATAACCGGTAGCAGCCTCGACGCGGGGGGCTGTGCCAACTGTGGGCATTGCGGGTGGGTGTAGCGAGTGAATGGCGGAGTGATTCGCATGCTTGTTGACGAGGTCGTCAGCAGTGGTCGTGAGGTCTTGCTGTAGCTGCTCCACGCGCTAGTGGGGATTGGCAACGTCGTCGTTGGTATGATGGGTATGCTGGGAGTACCGTTCAGGTCGTAGCTTTGAGTCTCGGACTCATTGGTCATATGCTTCTTGCTGCCTGTCCAGACGAGTGACAAGTTCGTCGACTCGTGCCTTTTCAGCATCCCTTTCGCGAGAGATTTGGTCCAGCAGGGAGCGCATGTGGTCCGCAGCCTTCCTCAAATCCTGCAATTCGGCAGCGATGCGGGCGGAATCGTACACCGAAGTATGGGTCACCAGTTGGCCAGTCTGGGCCCGCGCAGCTTGCAAAGCGGCCGCTGCGGCCTGCACTGCTCTGGCTTCCTGCTCGATCGCGGAGATGCAGCTGGCAAACGTTGGCGACGTAGCTTCCAATGCATCGAGACATTCTAACATGGCGTTCCCGCCGGAACACAGTTTGCCATACAGATCCTGTTCGACGTTGGTGGTCTCGGCGTGAAGGCGCGCAGTCGTCGCCTCGAAACGATCACGAAGCTCGAGGAGTTCACCTCGAAGGGCTTCTTCTGGCACAACAGATACCTCTGAAACAGGACGCAAGGCCGTCTCGCGAATCTCATCGTGGAGGGTCCGCACGGCGGGTGCGCCCTGGTCACGAAAGCCCGCGAACTGGGCCTCAACAGCCAAGACTTAGTCGCGGAGCGTCTGCAAGGACTGGGCGTCTTGACCTCGGTATGACTCAACGCGGTCGGCTAAGTATTGCACCTCGCCGAGGATTCGGCGGTCCTCAGCAATCCGAAGATCGATCGTAATAAGGACCTGGTACAGCTCGGCGCGCAGCATGGCCGTCTGGGACGACACTTTTGCGACTGTCCGACCAACCTGAAAACGGCTGAATCGTAAAAAATTCAACCAACTCCCTGGATTCTGCCACGGGGTTGTCGGAGGGCGTGGCGTGATGAACGGCACGTGCGGTGCCACGCCTTTATGAGGCCTGCCGCGAGCGCCTCCGAGAGGCGCTGCGGTTATGATCGTGACGTTGAGAACGGACGTGGCACCGATCAGGGGATGCTTTGCTGTTCGGAGCACCTGGGTGGGGGAACGCGAGCGCCGGCTTCTCAGCCGAACTGCTGCGGCCGTCGATGGCGCGGATACGTTCGGAAACACTGACAGACGCGGGGATTATGGAGCCTCCCGTGTCCCAACGGCGGGTACGCGCGGACGCGCTGGGAGTAGAACCCGGCGACACGCTCGTAGGGATCGATCCCGACCCGCCGTACATGCTTCCACCGACGTCAGATGCAGCATCAGGCGCAGGAGGTTGAGGAGCAAGGGCCTGAAGAGGGAAGGAATCCTCCCCAAAACCCAAGCGTGTGAAGCGTATGGGGTCGCCCCCGGCAGAAGCCGAGAGCGTTCACTCACCGCGCGCAGCAATTCAGATTGCATGCGTACCTCTGGGTCGCCTCCTGTCACTTGGGTCTGGGGAACCACATCGTCTCCTACTGCCCTTTCACTGGTCCCGTCTAGCCTGCGCGACGTCAAAGAGCTCTCACGCTGAACTCTATCGCCCGCCCGCGAAGGGGCGGCCATCGAAGCAACAGGAAAGATCGACGATCGGCGGAAGAGCGACAGAAGAAAGGCTGATAACCTCTGAACGGTGGGAAGGAACCGAAGAGCCGAACCACCCGTCCGAAGGAGATCCGTCGGTAGAGGAAGGATGACAGCGATAGACGGTGTTATCCCTCAGCGCTGCTCAGTCCTGCATCCAGTATGGATGCTTCAATACCTGAGCCGATAGGGGCAGCAGTACGGAGAGGTAAGAGGTGGGGAGGAGAGGGAATACACACAGTAGGGGGAGGGGGGAAAGGCTTCTTGGGTGCTTCTTGGGCTGACTGTGGCTGCCTGGCGTGCCACGGGCGCCCCCTGTCACCCCACACCGCTGCCAACTTCCCCCCCGCGTTCTGCTCTGCGCCGCCCTCCTCGGCCTCGGAGCAGCCTCAAGGCGACGCCCAGGTAAGACGAAGCTAGGACGAGGACACATTTGGACGAGGATCAATCGGAAATATCTGCGACTTGGAGCGTTCCGGAACGCTCCGAGAGCGTTCCTGAACGTTGTGGAACATGTCTATCCTCGTCCAAGCCCCGTCCGACCAGCTTCCAGGCAAGCCCAAGGGTCCGGGACCCCTTGTCTCGGGAGCCCTACTCTCCCCCGTGGCAAACACCAAGGAAAAGGCTCCTTCTGCCGCAGAAAGGCGGTCTCCGCGAACTGCATGCGGAGGAGCTCCAGGCGTCGCATGTACTCCTCCTGGTGGAGGCCCAGAATTCTGTCATATGGGGTTTCACTACCTGCTCACTGAATTCTTGGATCCCTGCCCCAAGGGCAGATTCTTCGACCTCAAGCAGTGCAATGGTCCCCAGGCCCGGACATAAACCCCAGATGCCCATATCGGGAAGGGGGGGGGCAGCTGGAGGAGAAGGAGGGGGATGGAAAAGAAGGAGGAGAAGGAGGAAAGACAGGAGGATATGGGGAGGAGGAGGAGGAGGAGGGGGAGGGGGAGCAGGAGGAGGAAGAGGAGGAGGAGGAGCAGGAGCAGGAAGAGGAGGAGGAGGAGAAGGAGGAGGAGAGGAGGAAGAGAAGGAGGAGGAGAGAAGGAGGAGGAGGGGAAGGAGGGAAGGAGGCGGAAGTGGAAGGAGGAGGAGGAGGAGGAGGAGGAGGAGGAGGGGAAGGAGGAGGAAGGGGAATGAGGAGGAAGAGGAGGAGGAGGAGGAGAAGTAGGAGGAGGAGGAGGATTAAGCGGAGGAGGGGAAGCAGGAGGAGGAGGGGGAAGGAAGACGAGGGGGAGGAGAAGGGCGAGGAGGTCAGGGTTTCGGGGGTCAAGCATCTTCCTGGACCTGGGGCCTGAGCCCTCTTTCTCTCGGAGAGCTTCGGGCAGAGCCCGGCCGCGTCAGCGCGAACTCCCCCGGACCTCCAGCAAATCCTCGACCCCCGAGGCCGGAAGCAGACGGAGACGCTCGAGTCGAAGAACTCAGCCCTACGCACCTCCGCAGAGGGGCCGCGGCCGACCGCGCTCCTGGGCGCGGCTGGCAGGGTGGACGCCGCGCGGCGGGCCGGCTCGTCGGCAGGACGGGGAGGTGCCGAGTTCTGGGCGTGGTGTCGTTTTTGGGCATGCCGGCGCTGGGGATGGGATTGCCCCCGGGGACTGTTCGGTTGGTTGCTCGGCCTCTGCGCCTCCAGGGTGGCCAGGGGAGCTCGGGGGAAGGGCGGGGGTGTTGGTTCCTCCACACCGCATCGCGCACTCGCCACTTCAGTCCCTGACAGTGCGCGGAGGAGGGGATGGGGAGGGGGGGGACGAGGAGAAGTGTTCCTCCTCCTTCCTCTCTCTCTCTCTCTCTGTTGCTCCTCTTCCTACCCTCTCTCCTTCTCCTCCTTCTCCTGCGCCTCTTGTTCCTCCTCTTTCCCGTTCACCTTGTCCTTCCCATCCTCCCCTTCCTCCTCATCCTTTTCCCAGTCATCCCTCCTCCTCCTCATCATCATCATCACCATCAGCATCATCATCATCATCATCAGCAGCAGCAGCATCATCATCGTACTCATCATCATCACCACCACCATCACTATCACCATCATCATCATCATCAGCAGCAGCAGCATCAGCATCATAATCAGCATCAGCATCATCCTCAGCATCATCATCAGCATCAGCATCATCGAAAGCATCAGCATCAGCATCAGCACCAGCACCAGCGACAGTCAGCACCAGCGCCAGCGCCAGCGCCAGCGCCAGCACCAGCACCAGCATCAGCATCAGCATCAGCATCATCATCATCAGCAGCAGCAGCAGCAACAGCAACAACAACATCAGCATATTGTACGCCATCCTCCCCCCGTCTCCTCCATGCCTCCCTTCGTCCCGAGAGAGGAGGAGGGAGCTGTAGGAGCACGGAGGAGACGAGGAGAACGAGCATCCGAAACGACGGGGGCGTTGCAGAAGACCCTGGTTGCGGCAGCTCTAGAAACGGCAGAACCCATCTGAACATCAACACGGCCGTAGCACGGCTCCCAGAAAGGGGGATACGCCACGCCGAAAACACGACGAAAACTGCAGTCTTGGAGAACGGAGGCGGCCAAAGAAACAAGCTACCCCGAGCCCGTGTACATTTTTCGGGCCCCTGGACTGCATGTATTCCTCGACTAGACCCTCTTCTGGACTACATGCCCCCCCCCATCAGGGACACCCCCCCCCACCCGAATACCCCATCGCGACCAGCCGCCCCCTCCCCACCCCACGAGTAGGGGAACGAAAAATGGCATAACCATAAAAACTCGGAGGTCCGCGCAAATTTCTTGGATCCGCGCTGACCCCCCTCCCATGCGCGCGGAGCGCGCCAGGGGCGGCTCCGGAAGCGCCAGGGGGGTCCATCGCCGATCCGAGAAATCCGCGCGGACCTCCGAGTTTTTATATGTATGCCATTCTTTGCTCCCCTATGAAAGCACCCCCTCCCAAACTACAGATACCCCCTGGCGCTGGGTCACTGAACCCCTCCGTCCACAAGCAGCCCCTGCCAGGACTGTAGGACCCTGGGTGTCCCAGCGGCAGGATGTGCATCGGGGGTCCAGGGACCTGTGAACTGGGCCACGGTTATGTTGTCCCATCGTACTTAAGGACCACGCCTCAGAAATACATTCGAGCACCCAAAGAAATTTCGAAACAGTGTCGAACGAATATCGCCTCCCAGGGCCCGACATGTGAAAACCCTAATGTTTCGGTACTCTCTTGGTGCTCGAAATTCGTTCTGGTGATTAAAGCTACAGTAGATTGGAATATCATCCACGAAATCATTGAACAACCGAACAAGGACAACACACATTGCAGCCGGAAGCTGTGATAAAACGATGCCATACAATCGCCCGAAGCGGTGAAGACAATTTACGCAATGTCCGAACGGAAGTGATCTTTGATACGGCGCTGGAAACGGAAACGACACACTGGGGCGGATACAAGAGCATACACCAAACGGCCCTGCCGACATATGTATGACCTCAAACGCCAACGCCACCAGACCACAACGGACAGTGCCAGTTGCACGGGTGGGCAGCCCAATTGCAGCAGAGCCAAGTACGAGCCTGACAACAAGCCGACCGAGCCGAGAGAGCAGAACTGCGAGTCCAACCGTGCATCTGGGCCGATCCCTGCAGAGGAGCCAGGCGTACAGGAGGGGGGGGGGGCGGGTCAATGGGGAAACCAAGATCTAAGATGTACCGACACAGTCGGGCTGCTGAAAGAAGGAAGGGACGATAAACAAGGAACGAAGCCCCGTTTTGGCCCCACGAACGCCTGCGTGCACGAGGAAGGCCAGAGGAAAAGCCATGGAAGGACCCAATGGAATATCGAGCCCCTCTCTTACCCAAGCTGTTCCTTATTTCAGCGAGTTGGCTGTACTCTTAAGTCGGGCGTGTCCCCCCACAGGGGCATTTTGGGCGAACAATAAAAAGTACGAAAAAATACCCCCCGGCTGGGCAAAAATGGTAAATCAAAATCGTCCCCAGACTATGTGTGACTATTTTTGAATATTCCCCCTGTAGAGGGACAGGCCCGACTTAACTGTACTCCCAGGACCTCTCCCAGGGTGCGTTCTGACCAGAATTTCGAAGCGAGTGAGGCGGTGGCGACGAGGGCCGCCCAGGACCCAAAAGGGGCAGACGAGGGAAGGGTAGCTGGAGGTGCGACTGCCCCTTCCCGCCCCGGAAAACAGGAAGCGTGGGGGGACGGGTCAAGATCCCAGGTGTCCGATGTCTCTATTACTAATATGATTCTTAATATTATTAGTATGATTCGCATTATTATTGTTATTATCATTATTGTTATTATTGTGATGATTGTTAGTGCCGTTATTGTTACTCTCGTCATTCGTATCATTATTATAATTCGTATTAGTCGTAGTAGTCGTAGTAGCGGTATTATTACGATTAGTACTATTATTATTGTTATTATTATCGTCATTACTACGATTCGTCTTCATATTATGTATTCTTTATTTGGAAATGCGGGCCCCCCGCATGTCCCGACCCCTTTCCCCTGGGCCGGCTCCTCGCCCCGAAGCGCGCTGTGTTGCTACAGCTCCTCTGGGGGCCTGGCGAAGGCTCCCAGAGGCCCAACACGGCGAGCGTCCCCCTGTCTTCATTTTGTCCAGACGTGCGATGCCTGGGAAGGGCGGGCGCCAAGCAACCGCCGACGAGGACCAACTATCAAAGGCCTGGACAATAGCGAGGCTGCGTGGGTATCCCCATTGGCCTGCTCAGCCGCCAGGAAGGGCCAGAGTGGCCCGCGAACGGGCAAGCGGGCCCAGCGAGGGCTCTCAGAGGTCCAAGACGGCGAGCAGTCCCCGTCTTAATTTTTTGGTCAGAACGCTGTGGCCACTCGCAGAAGGGAGGGCGCAGGGGGAGGGGGGAAGGCTGCTTGGAAGGAGGCTGTTTCTTACAAGGCGCTGGTTTTACATCTACAACCCAACCGTCCCACGTGCCTCGGCCTCGGCGGAAAGAGCGACAGCTCGGCGAGGTCATTCGCTTTTCCTGGATGCCGGCGCCCGCGCAGCGGGCGAAGTGCCTGGGCGGTCGCATACCGCGCAGCTTGCCGTCTCTGCGAGAGACGGCTCCACTATACACCAATGGAAGAGACCGCTGGGCCCCGCGCGCACAGGAGGCACGAGCACGAAGCGGCAATGCAGCAAATTACGTGACAGACGTAAGTACAAGAAGGAGAGGGAGGAAGAAGGGGGGAGAGGGGCGAGAAAAAGGCTGCAGAGGCACTCTCGTGAGGGTTATAGGGTGCAGGCACTGTCAACAACCCAACCGTCCCACGTGCCTCGGCCTCGGCGGAAAGAGCGACAGCTCGGCGAGGTCATTCGCTTTTCCTGGATGCCGGCGCCCGCGCAGCGGGCGAAGTGCCTGGGCGGTCGCGCACCGCGCAGCTTGCCGTCTCTGCGAGAGACGGCTCCACTATACACCAGCACTCGCAGGCCTGCGCTTGAGTCCGCCTCTGCTGGGCGGGGCTCCAAGCCCCTCGCGGAGCACGCTCAAGAGCCTCCGGCAGAAGGTCGCCTTCAGGGCACCAGCGCGGTCCAGGAGGTCGTCGCTCACGGCGTTCAGCGACCGAACCAAGGTCGCTGGCTTCGTGTAGATGCGGCACGACTCCAGGGAGGCCCAGCGTCCCCGTGCTTGCACGTCCTCTATCTTCACATTGTGGACCACGGCGTCGTGAGACGGGCCAGCATGTCGTAGCCCGTGAGCGACCACACGGAAACCGAGCGCGGCTGAAGCGGCACGATACTCCTTCTCAAGGTCGGGCAGCTGGTGCATCCTGAACACCCGATCGTTCGGCTGGAGGTCGGCCACGAGGAGCTCCAGCACCTCGCAGACCCACTGCCTCCCGTGGGCGCCCACGAGCACGCTGGCATCGAAGCGGCGGTTCTTCGCCGGCTTGGCGTCGATCCCCGCTGGCGCCACGGTGATGGTCCAGCCTTGCGCGGCCGCGCCACGGCGCGGTCGCCCCGCGGCGCCAGCGGTGAGCTCGAGGCCCTCGGACGGCCGCAGGTAGCAATCAAAGCTGATGGCCCCGTGGGCGGCGATGAGGGCCATGCGCAAGCAATCTTCGCCCACCGCCCGGTCGAGGAAGTGGTTGAGCACGAGCAGCACCAGCTCGACCGCAGGCGGGTCACGGCAGTGCTCTGGGGACGACCTAGCGAAGGCCAGGATGGACAGCCGCGTCTTGGGCAGCAGGTCGGGGGAGCGCCGAGGCCAGTCGTTGACGAAGGCGACCCCGTGGAAAGCGTACCTCGCCGCGGTGACCGTGTCGCCGGCGCGGCAGAGGTCCTCCACGTAGCCCGCCATGATGCGATCCCTGGCGTCGTAGTCGTCCTTCTTGGGCAGCCGTCCGACCGCGTGCGCCACGGCGGCGTAGCACTGCTCGTGCCGCCTGCGGGTCGCGGCCGTCACCACGAGCCTGCGGAGGAACCCTGGCTCGGTGAGGTCACGCCGCCGGGCGCGCTGCCCACGGCGCCGCTGACGGCCGCTAGCGCCGGTGCTGCTCAAGGATGCCGAGCTCGGCGCCAAGGTCGAGCCCGTCCCAGTGCTGGCCCGCCCCCTCCCACTCGAGCCGCGCGTGTCTCGGGGCCGTCGGGGGCGCCAGGCACCGTCGGCCGTCGGCCGAGCCTGCAGCCCTGAGGAGCGCGTCCTCCCAGCGGGCCTCCAGGCAGGGGCGGCCAGGGCAGCGCCGCGCCCGCGTCGGGGCGGCATCCCGCAGCACTCCTGCAACGGCCCTGCAAATGTCAGGAGGGTACGCAGCAGCCAGCGACGTCCGCCACCGCCAACCCCAGGAAGGATGATGCACTTTCCCCTGGAGCACGACGTGCTGGCGGCAGCCTGGGCACCGCCGCGCCACGGAGCCGAAGTGCTCGATGTTCGAGGCGAGCCCGGTCGGCTTCTTCCACGCGGCCCCGTAGGCGCACTGGTCGACCACGTGGAGCTCGCACTTGAGCCGGCGGAGCTGACGCACGAGCGGTCGCCACTGCCAGAGCCTCGACGCCCGCGGGTTCTCCAAGACCACGCGCGCGCCATGCCGAGCGCAAGCGTCCAGGACGCGCACGGTGAAGCGCGCGCAGACCAGCCCGGCGCGGCCAACGGCTCCCTCGCGCCGAGCGTGCCTAGCCGCGCTCCAGCGCGTGCAGGGCGTGCCCAGGGCGACGGCCCAGACCAGCCCCGCCTCGATCCAGCCGACGATGACATCCGCGATCTCACGGCGGCTGACGTCGAAGTGCGACCCCAGCTCGAGGTCGACGGGCACGGCGACGGCCAGGCCGAGCGCGGCGACGCAGGCGGTGAGCCGCATGCACCCCGCGAAGAGCTCCAGGAAGTACTGCTGCTGCCGAGGCGGCCGGCGGTCGCTGGGCTCCCGCGGCGGTCTGTCTCGCAGACGGCCTGGCGGCTCCCGCTCGAGCGGATCTGGTCCGCGGGCGGGGGGGCCAGGGGCCTCGGCGCTGAGGGCAGGCTGGCCTGGCGCCCCGCAGAGCGCGGCCCTCGGCCGCCCGGCGTCCAGCTGGCGAGCCGCCGCGCCGCGCCGGACTTCGCCTGGCCGGAGGTGGGGCAGCCTGCTGTCGTAGTCGCTGGGGTTGCGGTGCGTCTCGATGTGGCGCCGCGCCCAGCGCGCGTTGGCGGCCACCTGCCAGGCTCCTGCGCGTCTGACCAGCGCCAGGAGGTCCCACGTGCGCGACCTGCCTCGCCCAATGGCCAGGACCTCCGGCATGTTGTCACCGAGAGACAGGACGACGGACGAGTGGTGGTCCGGGTCGCTACAATACTCCTCGAGCCCCATGATCGCGGCCCGGGCCTCAAGGTTGTGAATCTTGTCCGGCTTCCTCCACTTGCCGATGACCACGGCTTCCCACCGCCGCGGATCGCCCCAAGAGGCGCTGAGGGTCGGGACCCGCCCGGCGACCTCCACCAGCGGCTGGCACTCGGGCACGTACCGTGTCCTCGCGTCGGCGACGTCCCGCAGCAGGTAGTCGCGCGCGAAGTCGGTGAAGGCGCCCTCAAGCACCGCCTCGGGGCCGCCCGGCAGGGCGCCCAGGAGCTCTCGCCTGCGGTCGAGCCCGAGCGACTCCGGCTCAGGCTCCCGAAAGCGCCATCGCTCATGAAACTGCGCGGCACCCCAGGCCTCGCGCGCGGTGACGACGGTGCGGTGGGCGGCGAAGCCATGCTCAGAGGCATCGGAGCAGTGCGCCACACCAGCGATGCTCCGCCCGAGCTCCACAACGGCGAGCGGCAGCAGCCCCTGGATGATGCGGAGCTCCTCCAGCGTCGCGGTGTCGAGCCTCCTCGCGGGCCCCGCCCCGTCGCCGATGAAGCGGTAGACGAAGCATAGGCTGGAGAGCAGCTCCCGCCGCGCCGAGAAGTGGTCGACGAGGTGCCCCACCACGCGGCGCATCTGCGACGGCGCCAGCGCCGGCCGGCGGATGAGCTCGTCGAGCGCGAACCACAGCCGCCACATGCGCCGCCGCCGGGGTAGCAGCATGCGCCTCCTCCCGCGGATCTCGCGACCCACGAGCTCGAAGTCGGGTCGGGGCTCCTGCTCCTCGCGGAGGACGAACCCGAGCCGCAACAGCTCGGAGCGGAAGGCGTCGTAGCCGCGCCGCGCGGCCTCTGGCGATCCAGCGATGAGGTCCCCGTTGTCGACGTACGGCGCGATGACCACCGAGTCGCGGCAGAAGGGCGGCGGCGGCCCCCAGTCGGCGAGCGTGGTCGCGGGCTGGCCGAGGCTGATGAGAGCCCGGCGGGCCGCTGCCTCGAGCGCGCCGTGGCAGAAGAACAGCGCCCAGCTCCAGCCCATCGGCAGCCCGCCAAAGCAGACCCAGAGGCGGTCCTCGGGCCCGACCTCCACGAAGCACGCCTTCTCGTCGCTGTAGACGGAGGTGACCCCGGCCTCGGCAGCGGTGAAGGACTCCCCGAGCGAGAACCAGCTGGCGACGGAGTCCACCCTGAACTGGTAGAAGCCGCCCTTGAGGTCCATGCCTGCGCAGGCGACCTCCAGCGCCGCGTCGGACCCGCCCTCGAAGCCGAGCGCCTTCGCCGAGAGCTCGCTCCACTCGTCCGAGAGCACGAGGTTCCCCAACGCCCCAGGTTTCGCCAAGTGCGACTTGGGCGCCCGACGGTGGAGTTGGTTCGTCGGGCGGCAGTCCAGGACCAGCCTGATAGCGCCCTCCTTCTTCTTGACGAAGAAAACCCCGCACTCTGCTCGGGCGCGGAGCCGCCAGGCCACGAGCCCGACCTTGTCGAGGCGCCGAATGAACTCCCGTCGAGCTGCGCCTGGCCGTGCGAACTGCTTGTCCCAGTGCGCCTTGACCGGCGCGTCCACCGAGGCGAGCTCGTCGGGCGGGAGGACGATGAGGTTGTCCAGGTCCTGGAGGTACCTGCGGCGCTCGTCGCCCACCACGTCCAGGGCGTCCAGCGGCACGGAGGTCCGCTCGAGCACTTTGAGCTTCGAGGGGTCGTAGTCAGCCTGGGCGGAGTCCCCGTCCAGGTCGTAGATAGACTTGCACTGCGCCAGCTCGGCCAGGGCGCCCTCGGGGAACTCCTCCGCGACGACGGGCGCAGGCGCGAACTGCTTAGCTGCTCTGGCAACGTTGCGCGACATCGCGTCCTGCACGGGCGCGATGTCGGCATCAAAAAGACGGCGAGGCTCCTCTGCGCGAAGAACCCTTCCCGGCTGGCAGCGCGCCATGGCGTTGAGAGACGCCGCGGCCCCTTCGACCAGCGCCTCGGTCTTGGCTCGCTGGCGCTGCTGCCGAGCAAGATGGCGAACGCCACCCCGACACTCCGCTGCCTGTCGAAGGCGAAGCGGCAGCGGAAACGGCCCGCCCCCCGCGACCATGACGACGCCGCCGGAGGAGAGCTCCAGAACGCCTCGACTGACGAGGCTAGCCTTTGTCCTTGTCCTTGTCCTTGTTGTTCTTGTCCTTGTCCTTGTTGCCCCGGCGCTTGTCCTCCTCCTCCTGGTACAGGCGCTGCTGCTTCGTGGTGAAGGCCGCGGTCTTCTGCTCCTCGGCCGTCCACCGCGCGAACTCTCCCGAGAGCACTCCCCCAGACGAGTCCAGGGTCGACATGGTCATCAGCTCGGTCCCGCGGAAATCGGGGTTCTTGGGGTTTCGCTTCGTCGCCTGATGAATCTGGAGGATCAGGCGCCCGATCATCTCCGCGGACGAGAGCTGCCCCAGGTTGAGCTGGTCGAAGCTCAGCATGTGGTGGAGGATCGTCATCAGATCTCTGTGCTTCATCGCCACCGGCGAATCGGGGTTCACCCCCGACGCGCGCACCCAGTAGTCCTGGAACCCCGCCAGCTCCTCCTTGGCCGCCCTCGCTGCCAGCAGCACCTCGCGGATCGCGGACGGCGCCGCCGCGGGGAACGGCCAGTCGCTCGGCGCCTTCCCCGTCTCGAAGAACTTCATCTGGGTGAGCCCCTCCCGCATCGCGAGGTACCTCGCTCGGCCGACCTCGCGCTTCACCGAGAGCACCCGCGGGTCCCGTCCAGGCCCCGTCCTCTTCTCCTCCCGCCACTCGTCGAGGTCCTGGTCGCCGACCTTCTCCACGAACGTCCAGAAGGTCTCGCCGTCCTCCTCCATCTCCGCGAGCCCAGCAGCCCCCTTCGCCAGCAACCTCAGCGGGTTCCTGGCGATGTCCGCCGGCACCGTCTCCGCGAACTTCTCGTACGCCGTGTCGGCAAAGCGCCAGTCGGCCGCCAGGCCGGCGGCGGCCGCCGCCGCTCCCGGCTCCGCGGGCGCCGCCCCCAGCACGTTGCCCAGCGCGTCCGCCTCGAGCCTCACAGCCGCCAGCTCCTCGTCCGTCGGCATCTCTGCCACGTACAGGTTCCCGCGCACCCGCGCAGGCGCTGGCGCCCGTCTCGGGATCGGCACCACGATGTGCTGGGCCAGGTTTACCACCACCACGTCCACGTCGGGAGTCCAGCCCACCCAGCGTCCATCCGCCAGGCGGACTCGCAGTACCCTCACATGCCACCTGAAGTTCGGGTCCTCGTCGAAATTGACCGCCACTTGGGGCTCGGGGATGTCGAGCGACAGCCGCGCGGCCGCCGCTGCCGTCGCCATCGTACCTCACGAACAGCACTAACGGCGATGCGACCTCCAGCCGGCCTCCTCCGAGCCGGGCTCCACGCCCCAGGCCGAGGAGACCGACGAGCGAGGCGAGCGCGGCGCAGACGGCGACGCGCCAGCTCCGGCGCCGCGGCCGGTGGGCGCCTCCTCCAGAGCCGCGAGGCCGGGTCGGAGCCCCGGCTGCCGGGCGCCCCTCCGGCACCCCCGCGTCCAGACAGCTCCGGCGGCGAAGCCCGCGGCCGCCGCGAGCCCGCTGCCCAGCGTGGCCGAGAGCGAGAGCCCCGGCCGCTGCTGCCCGGCCTCGCACGCCGGGCACTCCAAGCCCTTGCAGTCGCAGGTGACCGCGGGGCACACCGGCGCCGCCGCCGGCCCGGGGCAAGCCCCGCACGTGAGCCGTGGCTCGCACACGCAGGCCGGGCAGGGCGGCGCGCCTGGCCGCACGGCCCACCCGCCTATGGCAGAGGCAGCCAGCTGGTTGGCGAAGCTGGCGGCCGCAGTGACAATCTCGTGTACCATCCGCTGGGATGGAAAGACTCGAGAAAAAGGCTGCAGAGGCACTCTCGCGAGGGTTATAGGGTGCAGGCACTGTCAATGGACAAAGCCCGCGCCTTCTGAGAAGCAGGGTGCTTCCAGAAAGCGTTCCCCCCTCCACCTACCCCCCTCTGCGCGTGGCCGAACGTTGGATGTCTGAAGGGCGGGCGCCCGGAGGGGCCAGTGGCGCGCGTGCTGGCAAGCTGGAGGAGCGCCCGCACGCGTGGCAGGCCACGCGGACCAGGTCAAACAAACACGATCGTCCCTTTTCCTTTCACATGCGAAGCCCAAACATCCAACGTCTTGAACAATTAGCCTGGCGAAGGACCCAACCATATACAGATTTGAACACCGCAATTATGAACATCATCTTCGCCCGAGCTCCCTATAGGGCCACGAACCGTGTGAGGGGCGTGCCCACATGCGTGGCGGGGCAGACAACGCGAGCGATGACGATAGGTCTGTGTGCGAGAAACTGAGAGCGAGTGAGTCTGCTTGTGGATGAGTCTGCGCGAGCGTGAGTCTACGTGCATAACTGTCGACGAACATGTCGGCGCGCCTCTCACGAGGATCGCGCCCGCTTCCTTCCTGTTCTTTTTCTCGCTCTTTGCCCGTGCACGCCCACGTCCAAGGCTGCGGGCGCGGCGCCGCACGGAATCCCCGCGACGCGCGCTGGTCGCCCCGATGGGGTCCTGGCGACGCGCGCGGGTCGTCCGCTGCGCGAAACAGAAAAAACGAGCAGGCTGGCTCCCGCCCAGGATGCGCGGCCCGAAAGAGGCCTCAATTCGTCGAATACCAAGAAAACTTCCAGAAATCGAAAATCGCCGCCATGCGAACTCCGACACTGGGCCGCAATGCGAGTTCCGCCACGGCGACCTTAGGTGGAGCTCCCTGTGGGGACACGAAACGCTGTACTGGGTGGTGGATGACGCATGCGGGCGGTCCCACTGGGGCCTTCGGTGGAGCCCCCTATGGGGCCACGAAGCGTTGTACTGGGTGGTGGGTGGCGCATGCGGGCGGTTCCACTGGGGCCTTCGGTGGAACTCACTATGGGGCCACGAAGCGGTGTACCTATGGGGTCACGAAGCGCTGTACTGGGTGGTGGATGACGCATGCGGGCGGTCCAACTGTGGCCTTCGGTGAAGCCCCCACATAGGCCGCGAAACGCTGTACTGGGTGGTGGATGACGCATGCGGGCGGTCCCACTGGGGCCTTCGATGGAGCCCCCTATGGGGCCACGAAGCACTATACTGGGTGGTGGATGACGCATGCGGGCGGTCCCACTGGGGCCTTCGGTGGAACCCTCTATGGGGCCACGAAACGCTGTTCTGCGTGGTGGCTGACGCATGAGGGCGGTCCCACTGGAGCCTTCGGTGGAGCTGCCTATGGAGCCACGAAGTGCTATGCTGGGTAGTGGATGACGCATCCGGGCGGTGGGATGGAGGGGATGGGGACCGAACGACAAAGATTGCTACAAACCTACACGGTCACGACCACAATTGACGGTCGAAACATCAAACTTACATGCATTTTGCATGGGCCAGCTGCAACCGCCCCATGGACAATAAAACGCTATCAAAATCGCTTGAACGCGCGGCTTCGGCGGGACTCGCTGAGTTTGTTTCTGTTGCCCGGGGGAGCGCGTGGGAGATCGCCCTATGAGGGCCTCGGAGCCCCAACATACTGGTGTGGTTCGAGACGTGGAAGATGGGGATCGGCTATAAACGATACTGAATTAATGTTTCACTTGTCCTTCAACCGCCTTCCGCCCACACTCCGCCCACGGAGCCGCCCCCGTTCCTTCGTCCTCCGCCGGCTTCTGTGCCGGCTTCCGCCGAGGGCGAGGATGCGCCGAAGACGCGCAGCTGTCTCTGCGCTACCCTCGTGGCCACACGCGACGACCACCTCTTGGCCCAGACCTCCGATGACTCGACTTCTTCGAGTCTCAGGGCCCAGGACCTCTCGACCCTCTCCCTGTGGGACCAGCTTCCCGCCCTGAGCCGCTATGTGGCAATCCCATGGCACGAAGTTGGCCTCCGGAGGCCGAAAGTGCCAGAAGCCCTCCGGCTCGATGCCTTCGAGCCTCTGGATGGCCCGGCAGGGCTCGACCTGAACTGTGTTTTCCGTTCTCGTTTGGCTCTGGATTTCCCCCGTTCGGTCTTCGCGCCGCCATTGCTGCAAGACGACATCGAAACGAAAACGGCGCACGAAATCGCCATAATACCGTTCAGGTCGAGCCCTGTTGTCCAGGCCAGGCGACCTCTGGGGCCCGGTCCTCCACCTTCGCCTCCACCGCGTCGACCCTCGCGTGCAGGCGGTCCCGCAGCCGCCTCCGCCGGGGGCCACGGCACAGACGGAGGTTGGACAAGAGGGAGGGTAACTTTAGCATCGGGGGAAGAGGTCCTCAGGGAAACCTAGCGGCGCGCACAAAGGGGGTGGGGGGAGGGGGGAAGGCGTCTTAGAAGGAGCGGGCTTCTTAGAAGGCGCCAGGCCTGCATCTATAGATGAGGCCCGCGTCTTCAAAGAAGCAGGGGCGTTTCTAAGAAGCCTTCCCCCCTCCCCCTGCACCCCCCTCTGCGCGCTGCCAAGAAACGGGTCTTAGACCCGGGGGCTTTCCCCCAAGACGAATCTGTCATCATGGACCGTTCTCTGACACTCCCGGGGCCCGTGGAGGGCCCCGAGAGCCCGAAGACGGCAAAAAGCCTCAGGACCCGTTTCCCTCAGGACCCGTGTCCCCCCATGGCGACAATGAGCCAAGGGAGCCCAAAAGAGGCTTAGCGAATCAGCCCACGCAGCCGTGTTTTCTCCAGCGCCTCCCAACGCGCCGAACAGGCGCCGATACATACCACGGAGGGCGCCTGGACGCGAGGCCGACACCAGCTACATGCAGCGGACGGATCTTGCGCTTGTCAGAAGGCGCTGGCCTTACATCTCTAAAGAAGGCCCGCGCCTTCTAAACAGCTGGGGCGCTTCTAAAAGGCATTCCCTTCTCCCCCTACACTTATGTACTTCCCATCCTATTCAAGGGCCACATCCCCCAAAAAATCAAGCACCCGGAAAAGTGTCAAAAGAGTGTCGGAACAATGTCGAAACAGTGTCGGGCGAGTGTTTCCCAGTGCCCGACACGTGAAAACTCTTGAGCTTCGGCACTTTTTCTGGCGTTCGAATTTTTTCTGCTGATCAAAGCTAAAGTAGGTTGGAGCATCATAACCCTACGCCCCTCTGCGCGTGGCTGACCCTTCCCCAATCGCCCCCCGACCGATTATCGTCGTCTGGCGTTTGGGTCCTGGTCTGTGGCGGCCGCTCGGGACGGTCCGCGCACCCCTGGAACGCTCTCGGCGAGGCGAAGCTGCCGTTGGAGAGCACCCCGAACGGGGACAACATCGGACCAAGACAAATCGAGGCGGAAATCTGGCAGTTCTGGAGAAGGTGTCGGGCGCCGCGGCCGTTCCAGAGCGTTCCGGAACGTTCTGGAAATATGTATCCCTGTCCTCGCCCCGTCCGACACCCCGAGTCTCGCAATACTTCGAAAACTCAGCGACCAGAAGTAAATTGCACCGTTCTGATTCATTGTCGCACTCACCCCGTGCTGTCTGGGGCCACGCACAATCCACCGCTGACCTTCCTTTGGATGCACCCCAGTGGCGACGATCGACCAGACGACTCACCTCGGTCAGCAGTGGACGCCATGGGAAAGAGCGCGTTCTGGGGTCGCTTGGAGGGGGGGGCTTTGAAACCGGACCCTCCCCCCTTCCTCCCCTTCTTAAGCCTCTCCTCGGGCCGGCGCTTGCGCCGGCGGCGGCTGGCGGCGGCGGCGGCGGGGACGACGATTTCCTTTTCTGGGCCGGCGCCGGCGAATGGGGCGGCGGGCGGCGGCGGCGGGGAGCGTCGACGAAGACGACGGTGGTGGTGGTGGTGGTGGTGGTGGTGGTGGTGGGTTGTGGAGGTGGTGGTGGCGGTGGTGGTGGTGGTTGCGGTGGTGGGTGGTGGTAGTGGTGGTGGTGGTGGTGGTGGGTGGTGGTGGTGGTGGTGGTTTGGTGGTGGTGTGGTGGTGGTTTGTGGTGGTGGTGGTGGTGGGGCTGAGTTGTGGTGTGGTGGTGGTTTGGTGGTGGTGTGGTGGTGGTTTGTGGTGGTGGTGGTGGGTTGTGGTGGTGGCGGTGGTTTGTGGGTGGCGCTGGTGGTGGTGGTGGTGGTGGTGGTGTGGTGGTTTGTGGTGGTGGTGGGTCGTGCTGCTGGTAGTGGTGGTGTGGCGGTGGTGGTAGTGTGGTAGATTGTGGTGGTGGTGGTGGGTTGTGGTGGTGGTTGTGGTGGTGGTGGTTGTAATGGTGAGTTGTGGTGATGGTGGTGGGTGGTGTGGTGGTGATGTGGTGGTGGTTGTGTGGTTGTGGCGGTGGTTTGTGGAGGTGGTGCTGGTGGTGGTGGTGGTGGTGGTGGTGGCGGTGGTGGTGGTGGTGTGGTGGTTTGTGGTGGTGGCGGTGGGTTGTGCTGCTGGTAGTGGTGGTTGTGGCGGTGGTGGTGGTGTGGTAGTGTTGGTGAGCTTTTGTGGTAGTGGTGGTGAGCTTTTGTGGTAGTGGTGGTGATGATGGTGAGTTGTGGTGGTGGTGTGGTGGTGGTGTTGGCTGCGGTGGTGGTGGTTGTGTCGTGTGGTGGTGGTGGTGGGTTAAGGCGGTGGTGGTGGTGGTACTGGTGGCGGTAGTGGTAGTGGTGGTACTCGTCGCGCCGCCAGCGCCGGCGCTGGCGCCAGGGGGGGAGGGGGGGGTCTGAACCCCCCCCCCCCCCCCCCCCGGCGCGCGGGGGGGTGGGGGAGGGGGTTGAAACCCCCCCCCCTGCTGGCCGCCGCCAGCGCCGGCGCTGGCGCCAGGGGGGGGGGTTGAACACCCCGCACCCCCGGGCGCGCGGGTGGCTGCCTCTGGTCATCGTCGCTGCGGCCCCGCCGTCGGCGCTGCTGGCGGCCGCTGGCGCCGGCGCCAGTTGGGAGGGGTTCGGGAGGGGGGAGGTTTGGGGGGGAAGGGAGTCCCCCTGGTTTTGATCGACGGCGCCGAATGTTGGCGGGGGGGCCATCCCCCGGTTCGAAACGCGCCGCCGAATGTTCCCAAGGCAAGCGCCCGTGAAACGCGTTTTCTCCATGCTATCTGCCACGATCTGTACATGCCAGCATAGAGCACCATCAACCTGTTACCCCCTTTTGCTTGGGGAGCATGGGTGGATGACTCAGAGTAGCTGTCGCGGCAACAATCCTATAGCTTCGCAAGCTCGCTGAGGAGGAGGAAGAGAAGGAGGAGTGGGAGGAGGAGGAGGAGGAGGAGGAGGAGGAGGAGGAGGAGAAGGAGGAGGAGGAGGAGGAGAGGAGGAGGAGGAGGAGGAGTGGGAGGAGGAGGAGGAGGAGGAGGAGGAGGAGAAGGAGGAGGGAGGGAGGGGGAGAGGGGAGGAGGAGGAGGAGGAGGAATAAGAGGAGGAGGAGGAGGAGGAGGATGAGGAGGAGGAGGAGGAGGAGGAGGAGGAGGGCGAGGGGGGGAGGAGGAGGAGGAGGAGGAGGAGGAGGAGGAGGAGAGGAGGAGGAGGAGGAGGAGGAGGAGGAGGAGGAGGAGGAGGAGGAGGAGGAGGAGGAGGAGGAGGAGGAGGAGGAGGGGAGGAGGAGGAGGGAGGAGGAGGAGGAGGAGGAGGAGGAGGGAGGAGGAGGAGGAGGAGGAGGAGAAGGAGGAGGAGGAGGAGGAGGGGGAAGAGGAGGAGGAGGAGGAGGAGGAGGAGGAGAGGAGGAGGAGAGGAGGAGGCGAGGGGGGAGGAGGAGGAGGAGGAGGAGGAGGAGGAGGAGGAGGAGGAGGAGGGGAGGAGGAGGAGGAGGAGGGAGGAGGAGGAGGAGGAGGAGGAGGAGGAGGAGCAGAAGGAGGCGGGGGAGCTGACGGAGGAGGAGGAGGAGGGCCAGGGGAGCAGGAGCAGGAGGAGGAGGAGGACGAGGAGGAGAAGGAGGAGGAGCAGCACGAGGAGGATGGTCCTCCCCCGTCCCGCCCCTCGCCCAGAGAGGGCGCGCGCCAGGCCGGGACGCCTGTTCTCCTCGATGCCGCCCTCGCGCTCCTCTGGGCGCGCCGGCGGGGCCCGCCGGGCGCTCCGTCTCCCGTTCCTGCCCCACGAGAGGGGGGAGGAGGAGAAGCAGGAGGAGGAGGAGGGAAAAGAGGAAGAGGAGGAAGAGGAGGAGGAGGATTTTTTTGTCATTCCACACTGCCCAACAGGTGACCTGAGGGAACGCCGACGCCAAAATACAGCTGAGGGGTGGCGAATCCCTCAGAGGGCGCACATTGGCGCAAAGCCCACCTTCCGCTGGTTCTGGTGGTCCTGCTGGGCCTGGGCTACGTCGCGGTCGTTCTGCTGCGCTTGCACGTGCGGGCGGGCTCGTCCGCACGCGCTGACGCTGCGGGCCAAGGCGGCCCGACAGCATGTCAAGGAAGGATGCCGCCATCGTGCCGCCATACAGTCGGGGCGTTGACCTAAGGAACCCTAAATAAGGAACGAGGCCCCTTTTTTCCATGAGTTAAACTTCGATTTCCGATCGAAAACATAAGGAAAACCTGAGGCAAGCTGCGAAACACTTAAGGAACGCGGAGCCCCTCCCCAACGAAAAGGGTTCCTTCTTCAGGGCCCCGACTGCAATGAACGCTGAACGAGGAACAGCTGGGCTTTACTGGCCAGGGCGAGCCTTGGCCACGAAGAGCTTCCCCGACCCAGACCGTCTAGACCTGAGGCACGGCCCGAAGGCCAGATCGCTTCCTGAGCCCCAGGTGGTCGGTGTGGTTAAGCGTCTTGACCGTATGTTTCATGGCTTCGGTGCAAGCCAAGGTTGTGTTGGGAGGTGGACGGGGGAGGAGGAGGGGGGGCAGGGAGCGGAGGGGGAGCGGGAGGAGGAAGAGGAGGAGGAGGAGGGGGAGAAAGAGGAGGAGGAGAGGGGAGAAGGGATGAGGGGGATGAGGATGAGGGAGGATGAGACGCAGGAGGAGAAGAAGGAGGACGAAAAGGAGAGGGATACTGATGGCGATGAGGGGTGAGGATTTTGTTGTTGATGATGGTGATGATGATGAGGATGACATGCAGATGAGGAGGAAGGAGCGATAGAGGTGGAGCAAGGAAACTTGACTATAATGTACTAGCGCTGACGTTCCTAGGTGCACTGTGCATACGCAGACCACACCCCGTCAGCAAAATTCCAGGGAGGCCCAATAGATGCACGATGAGGCGTAAAAAGAGCTCCGATTGGCCCCCCAAGAGGGCTACCTCAAGAGGGCCTCAAAACCCACACACTTTCACACAAAACCGCCCCCAACAAGGGAACGTCTTTTGTCAAATTTATGTCGAACCACTGGAGACCACCCATGAAGCGACCCCCGCCCCCTGGTCCGCCCCAGCCACTTCTAGGGCCAGAGAGGCGGAACCGGAGGAGGAGGAGGAGGAGGAGGAGGAGGAGAAGGAAAAGCAGGAGGAGGATGGCGGGAATGAGGACGAGAACGGCTCCCAATCATTGAAGTGCCCCTGTAATGGCACTCACTCCCTTCTGCTCCCTTGTCTGGCTTGATCACCACCACCACCACAATAATCATCACCAAGATCACAACCACGACACGTATTGCCATTCGCATTGCATCATTGCCATCACCATTCTCGTATCATTATCGCATTCGTATTATTAGCATGAGTGCCCTCACTGTTCTGCCATCTTCCGTCCTCGGGCGACGAGGGCGGCGGTGCGCCTTGCGTATGAACTGCATGGCTTTGGACACCTTGTCCCCGACCGAGGCCTCTATGCGACCCCGCCTCGGCACGGGCCCTCTACGAACACGAGTGGGTTCAGGCAGCGCCAATGGGGGGTCACGGGGGGGGGGGGCAGGGCATCACCTCCTCCTGATGATCCAGGACGGGAGAGAATGTATTGTCAACCCGTACATACTAAGGACGCACGATAAGGATGTAAAGGCCTTGGAAGGCCTTGACTCTTTGCGAGCGGGGCGCGGCCAGCGAAAGCGGCCAAGGATGAGCAGAAGGGGTAACCTTGGAAAGTTGCTCATCCTTTGTATGCGGGTTGACTGCATGATGGAGGATGGAACATGTTGTTTGACGCTCCTGGCTGTTTTGGGCTTTTCTGGGCAGGTGTGGAAGGTCCTGGGAGCTCCTCCGCCACTTCAGCAGGAGGAAGTGGCGAACCGGTGATGACCCCCTTTCGCCTTGCTGGGTGTGCAAGAAGGGGAGAGCCAGCCCACCTCTTCCCCCCACCAGCCAGCGCGCCCCGCACGCGCCGACCACATCATCTCGGTACTGCCCGGCACGGCCCCCTCCCTCCGGCGCAGACAGCCCACCTCGTCTCTCACCAGCCAGCGCGCCCCCTCCGCCCCGACCCCGTTCTCATTATTTTGGCACGGCACCGGTGCCGTGCCCGCCCCCCATCCCTCACGGCCAGCCGACCTCCTCCTCCCCCACCAGCCAGCGCGCCCCCGCCGCCTCGACCCCGTCATCTCGGCACGGCACCGGCGCCGCGCCCGCCTCCCTCCTCCTGCTCCGCAGCCAGCCCACCTCCTCCGTCCCCACCAGCAAGCGCGGCCTCTCCGCCCAAACCTTGTTTTGGACGCGGCACCAGCGCCGCGGCTGTTCTCCTCCCTATCTCCACAGCCAGTCGCCCTCCCCTCCCCCCACAGTCAATCCAGCTCCTCCTCGCCAGCCAGCGCGCCCCCTGCGCCCCCACCCTTCTATTTCAGCACGGCACCAGCACAGCGCCCCGTGCCCCCCCCCCACTCACGGCCAGCCCAGCTCCTCCTTGCCCGTCTGCCAGCGCGCTCTTTCCGCCCCGACCCTCACACCGCCAGCGCCGCGCCCTTCCCCCCCACAGCCAGCCAAGCTCCTCCTCGCTCACCAGCCAGCGCGCCCCCTCGGCCCCGACGGTCAGATATCGGCACAGCACTGGCGCCAGAACCTCGCCTCCCCCCCACACTCGGCCCATGCCCCCTGCGCCCCGACTCCTTTGTTTCGGCACGGCACCAGCGCGGCGCCCCCCCTCCCCCCACAGCCAGCCAGCTCTCCCTCGCCCACCAGCCAGTGCGCCCCCCCCGCCTAGACCTTTGCATTTCGGCACTGTCGGCCCTGCGGATCAGCCCCCTAGGTTCCGCCCTGGGCCCTCGGCTGTCTCGGCCGCCAGTCCCGAAACATCGCCCTGCCCGCCCTGCAGACCCCTGTTCGCCGCCTTCGCCTACATGACTTCTTCTGCTCGCTTCGCTCGTTTCTCCTCGTCGTCGACTTACTCCGGTCCCTGCTGTGGCGTTTCACTTTCCTTCTCGTGCTCCTCCCTCCTCGCCCTCCCTCCCCCATTCTCTCTCCTTGTCTTCCGTCGCCCGTGTCCTCTTTTTTCTCCGTCGGCACGTGCTTCCCTTTCTTTTAGCCCCTCATTGCCCTCTCCCTCTTCCTCTTCCTTTTCCTGTTTCTCGTCCTCCATTTCCCTTCCCTCTCCGCCTCCCCCTCCTCCTCCTCCGCCTCCCCCTCCCACTCCTCCTCCTTCTCCTCCTCCTCCTCCTCCTCCTCCCCCTCCTCTTCCTCAACCTCCTCACCTTCCTGCATGTGCTAGAGCCATAGCATGCGTACAACTCGTTGTTTGTTCAGTGTTGCTGAAACTCCATCCAGAACACAACCACCATGCAGAAGAAGAGTAGTCGAATAGAACTGGTGTTCGAACAAATCTTGCCAGTCGTGCCCTTCCTACTGGCGCTGCTGTCGGTTGACAAATCCAGAATCCAGACACCTTCCAGTAGTCGAGATGTGTCGAAATTGTAGCAAACATTCCGCGTGGGCTCACTCTGAATCCCGCGGACGATCTTGCGGCGTGCAACAACCATCCCGATGGTTCTCAGAAGCCCCCACTGGTGGCACAACATGCAAACATGCAGCACCCCTCGAGACGGCGCAACAGCCAGGCCAGGGCCAAGCGCAGCTGAGGCCAGGACAGCGCAGTGTTCTCGGCCAGCTGTGCCTGGGGACGGGGCTCTCGGTGCACGAAGACACGCGGGAGGGAAGGCGGGAGAACGAAGGCATCCATGTCTTGATGTTTTGATGTTTTTCGCTGTCTTTCGATGTTGGAGGCCAGATGTTGTTCGATGTGTTTTGATGTTTTTCGTTGTTTTTCTATGTTGTTCGCTGTTTAGCAATGTTTTGATGGACTTTTGATGTTGTTCGCCATCTTCGGCCTCTGGAGGCCGCTTCAAGGACCCAAGAGAGTCAGGTAACGATCCAGCACGAACGCATGATCTCTGGGAGGGGCTCGAGAGGTGTGGGGGCCGCGGCGTCTTGAAAAATAACGATGTTGGAGGTATGGGGATGAGGACGGTGGAAGATGAAGGATACGGATGAAGATGCGGAGAAAGAGGACGGTGAGGATGCAACACATGACTATTCCAATGCCGACCCGCTGGCCCCCCTGAGGACGACCTGGGAATGGGTTTGGAACACACGCTGCCGCCCGCCGTCGCGCGGCGGACGGTGCAGGACAGGGTTTCTACCGAGATGCTGGACAAAGTAGAGGGCAACAAAACCACCCCCATGATAACCACCCCGACAAGCGAAGCCGTTTACGAAACGCCCCCACTGAAGGAATCGAACAAGGCAAGGCTGTTTAGTAAACGCCCAAGGCTGTTTATCGGGGATGGACAGAACCCCCTTTAGCAAAACGTGGTTGAGTGAAAACGACCTCGGGCCCAAACTTGGCAGGAGCAAGCCTGGAAAATGACGGCCGCGGCGCCTTATCGAGAACCGAAAACGGACAATTCACGAATCGACGTGTCAAGGTAGGAGGTCTGTCCACCCCCGGGTTTTTAATAAACACCAACTGTCTGGTCGGGGTGGTTTTCCCTCCCTTGACAAAAGGCCGCGCTGCCGCACCCGCGCGCGGGGGCATCCCGCGGCCCACGGGGGCTCTCCGCACACGCCGTGCGGCAGCCCCGCGCGCCGCGGGCCGTGCCCAAAGGCCGCTGGAAGGCCACCCGGCCACCTGTCGAGAAGGCGAAAACCCACCCCCACCCCCAGTCCCGACTCCATCCTCGAGCCCGCGATTCAAGGCGTCGGGACTGGGGGTGGGGGTGGGTTTTCGGGGTCGAGGACTGGAGGTCTTCCTCGAACCCGCGATTCAAGGAGTCGGGACTGGGGGTGGGGGTGGGTTTTCGGGGTCCAGGGCTGGAGAAAACCCACCCCCACCCCCTCCCAGTCCCGGCCCCTTGAATCGCCGGCTCGGGGATGGGCGTCGGGACTGGGGGTGGGGGTGGGTTTTCGCCTTCTGACCTGTGCGCCCGGCTGCCACCTGGGCCAGCCGCTTTGGAGTCCCGAACCGGTGCGGCGACAGACCCGGCGGTGCCCTCGAACTCCCCCAAGACCTCACCGCACGGTCCGTCACCGCATGGTCTTGGGACCCCGCAGGCCCCGGTCGCCCGAGGCGTCCTCGGAGAACGACCCGAGTCCCAACACCGTGCGGTGACCCCGAATCCCCACCGACTCACCGCACGGTGTGGTCACCACCCCGTTTGGGGGCCCCCGAGCCGCGTCAGGTCTGGAGCCAGCCTCCTGGCCCGCAGCCCCCCACTGTGACGGAAAGAGCCGGGCCCGGCCGCCCGGGCCGCGAACGCACTTTTCCCCAGGCCTCGCCCGCGCCACCTCGGGCGCAGGCACTGAGCGCGGGGGGGGCGCGAGAGGGCGGCGGGAGGAAGCGACCCAGCCCGACTCGCTTGGTCGACCACAAGGTGTAAGCTAGGGCCGCATGTTTGCAGGAACGATTGGGCCGCGAGGACGCACCTTTGCCCGACTCGACGGGCCCCTGAGGCCTCAAGACGGCCCCGAGGGGGACGCAAGGGGATCGTCCTCGTCCCCAGCGCGAGCCGACGCTCTGCATCTCAAGGTCTGCGCGCACCTCGGAAGAGGCCCGAAAGCACCCGCAGAGCCAGGGCACGGCCCAACGGCGAGGGACGGGGCGGCGAGAGGAAGACACAGCTTCCTGCCAGCCCTCTGGGCACAGACTGCTGAGACGACCAGCCCTTCCAAAGCGAACCCCTCTTCCGCTTCGAGCATAATTGGTGGCGCGCAGAAGGGGGGCAGAGGGAGGGGGGAAGGCTTCTTAGAAGGACGCTGCTTCTCAGAAGGCGCTGGCCTTACATTTATAGATTAGGCCCGCGCCTTCTAAGGAGCAGTCACCTTCTAAGAAGCCTTCCCCCTCCTTTTTTCCTGCATGATCACGACCGCAGTGCACGAGCAAACGCATGAGGCCCGTCCCCGTCCCGGGGCACTGAGCATGAGATCCGCTTCCCCTCACGGGGGCTACGAACGAGCCCATCGGATACAGGCACGGGCATGACGGCGGTAATGCAGCGGAGGAGGAGGAGGAGGAGGAGGAGGAGGAGGAGGAGGGGGAGGAGGAGGAGGAGGAGGAGGAGGAGGAGGAGGAGGAGGAGGAGGAGGAGGAAGCCTTCCCCCTCCTCCTACCCCCCTGTGCGCGTGGCCGAGAAAAGTCTGTCCCGCTCCCTACGCCCTCCCCGGGCGTCTGGACGGGGGGGCGCCGAAGCTGGAGCATCGAACGTTCGCCCCAGATCCAAGATGGCCCAGGTTGGCCGCAGAGGCTCAGAGGAGGAGGAGGAGGAGGAGGAGGAGGAGGAGGATGGGGGAGGGGAGGAGGAGGAGGAGGACGAGAGGAGGAGGAGGCGGAGGAGGAGGAGGAGGAGGAGGGAGGAGGAGGAGGAGGAGGAGGAGGAGGAGGAGGAGGAGGAGGAGAGGAGGAGGAGGAGGAGGAGGAAGCGCATGAGGGCGCATTGGGGCGGGAGGAGGAGGAAGAGGAGAGGAGGAGGGAGGAAGAGGAAGGGGAGGAGGAGGACGAGGAGAAGGAGGAGGAGGACGAGGAGGAGGAGGAGGAGGAGGGAGGAGGAGGAGCTGACGGAGGATACCGTCGACGTCCTCCGTGGACAACCACGGCACGGCACTCCTCCTCCTCCCCTCCTCCTCCTCCTCATCCTCCTCCTCCTCCCCTCCTCCTCCTCCTCCTCCTCGGAGGTGGCGCAGATGATGACGAACCTGGGACAACAGCTACAGCAGCTAGGACCCGGAAACAATGCAGCTGCGGCAGCACTGGGATCCCAGCTGGTTTCAGTCGCGCAGACACTCCAACCACAAGCACTACAACAACCAGCGGAACTACGATGCACTGCAGCAGCGCGGACCCGGGAGCACGCGTACAACGAGTTCCGCAAGGCTTGCGACGAGCACCGTAGACTACAGGGACTACTGGCCGCAGACTACAGCCACATGGTCGAGAAAGGCAAAGCCCTGGAGGAAGTGAAAGCCAACCTCAACGCGATCATGACAGGAGGGCAAACCCCTCCTCGTCCTCCTCCTCCTCCTCCTCCTCCTGCTCCTCCTCCTCCTCCAGCAGCATGAGCTTCATGGAGCAGCTGTTGAGCGCGACCGAACAGGAGTGGTACAAGAGCGGGGCCATCGACCTGGAAGCGGAGGACAAGCTGCGGGGCGACGAGGACGAGGAGCTGAAGACGCAGATCCTCGCGGCCAAGCTCGCCGCGATCAGGGACCTCAAGGCAGGGGCGCAAGCCCGCGCAGGCCAGATCCGGGCGCGCATCGACGAGGCGAAAGCCAAGGCAGCTGCCGAGGCCGCACGACCCCGAGAGGCCAAGACACGCGAGACCACGGAGAACCGGCCAGCACAAGCACAACCCACAGCAGCAGCACCAGGACAATCACCGACGGCAGCTGCTGGCGGACACGAGGCCCCCGCGCCCGTGGATCCTGCGGCTGGCCAGGCCCCACCTCCGACGCAACCACCACTCGCCGAGACAACAGGCACCAGCACAGCAAAGCAGCGCGCGGAGGTGCTCCGCCACCTCCGCGCGGTGGCATGAACACCAACCTCTCGGCCACCCCTGAGCACCGAGCACTCTTCGTTGGAAGTATCGCGACGTGGGGACCACAAGTGACGAGGTGGCTAAGGGACGGTCCACAGTCAAGGCAACGGGGTCGAGCACTGCACGACGGCGACCTGCTCCAGGACACCCACCTCAACGTTCAAGAACTACAGCCTGTCGAGGCAGTTTTCGCAGGAATGGGCATCAAAACATGTGTTACGTACTTCATCAAGGCAGTCGACAGCGTCAGAGCGGGGCTCTCACGGCGGAGTGACTGCAATGGTGGGGAACCGCTGTCGCACCAAGATCTTCAGGGAGATGGCGACGAAGGGAAGCGCATCCTCCTCGACGGCGGGCGCGACTTCATTGGCATCGGCTGAACTCCTGAACTTCACGGATTGGATACCAGTGCTATGGCGCAGGGCGGCGCAGGAAGGGCTACTCGATCCTGGTGGTGTCTACCTCGAGTGTGCCACAAGCCCCTCAGGACTGGGCCCAACGCGGAGCGTCTCAAGGAGCTAGGCCAGTATTTACGAGTACTGAAGCTACCTTGGATTTCAGCGGGTGACTGCCACGCCGCCCCAGCCGCCTTCGTAGCCTCAGGATGGCCTGAGGACCTTGGGGACGGTCACAAACTCACCCTCGGCGAGAACGCGGCCACGTGCTTCAAGAAGGACGCGACGCCCTCGCCAATCGATTACGTCGTGGTAAGCCCAGGGGCGAGACAACACATCCACTCGCTGGCACCAGCACGTAATATACGATAAGGGCCACACATCGGACAGGTGCTTACACTGAAGGGCGAGCTGCAGATGACCATTCGACGGCAACTCCAGATGCCGCCACCCTTCCAGCGCCCACGCCTGCCGAAGAAGGCCCCAGGCCCGACGGGCAAGCGGCGTCGCCAACTTGCCGCGCGACGTGCACAACGGACCACGGCAGCCCAACCGACGCAGCGCGACGGCACGACCGACGAGCACGACCTCATGCCGAGCAGACGGGAAGCACTGGCCCCCACGGGCTGCATGCGCCATCCGTCGCCGCCGACACCAGCTACGACTCCGGCGCGAGCACGAACAACCAT